CCCCCCCCCCCAACACACACACACGTATATACAGACCTTGCAGAGCTGAGCACCCAAACCACCCACACACAGCGACAGACATGCGCACACTCCACACAAAGCCAGACACACGTATGCAGCACATAAGATTGAGACGCAGCCTGGCATAGGCATGCGCATCACACACACACACACAGTCACAGAACCACTGTGGAAAGCTCTTTGGAGTGAGCAGGCAGACGTTAACATGCCATAAATGGAGATGGAGGGAAGCGAGGGGAGGGAAGAAAACTGCATACATACATTAATATGCAAAAACACACACACAAACATTAAAAACACACACCCACACATTGTGTTGGCCCACAGACACACACACACTCTTTACAAACAGCTCCCAAACACACACACACACACATACACACACACACATACACACACACACACACACACGTACGTACACAACAGTATGAATGCATTCACACCAAATCATCCAAGCGTCCCAGCCACCTCCCTCCTCCCCTCTTCCTCTCCCCTCCTCTCGAGGGAGGCTCAGACTGTCCTCTTCTTCCCTCTCTGTCTCTCTGAACGTTTCTCCTGACTTAAGGCGGCGGTTTTACACAAAGCATCGGAATAAAAAAAAAGGGAATCAAAACAATGTGCAAACTGTCTCCTCACCCTCCTCCCCCCCTCCTCACCATCGGTTCCCTTCACTCTGCTTTTTCATTTCTTCATCTCAACTCTTCTTCTTGTTCTTAGTTATTAAACTTATTGGTCATGTCTCCACAGATCGTACGTGTGCTCCAGAATATAGAGTGGGACAGGTCATGCATTAAAAACCGCCTTCCCACTTCCGCCTGGATGCTCGTCTCAGGACTGTTAGTAAGAAATAATAAAATAAAAACTGGATGAACACGTTAAAGTATCAAGAACAAAAAGTCTCTAAACATCTTTCCTTAAAAGCCATGTCGTAAAAAAATTTTTTTTTTTTTTTTTTAATAACACTGGTCGACAAAACCGGTTCAGTTAAAATCAATTTGGAAAAACCCTCGAGGGCAGTTTTTGGTTCTTATCCGAGTGTTTCAACGCTGAGTGTTTCACTTAAAGAGGCGACTTAGCAACGGACCCTTCAACTCGAGGAGGGTGTGTGTGTGTGTGTGTGTGTGTGTGTGTGTGTGTGTGTGTTTGTGTCCTGTAACAGTGACATTAAACAGTTCCACTCACACACTTCTGATTCCACACTGACAATAAGGTGCTTCGGGTTTCTTCTCGTCATAGTCAAACAAACCAAAAAAGCTGCGTCTGAAATGTCTAATTTATAATAAACTGTGGAATTTTATTGTTTTTAATATTTGTCTTTAATATGTTTGAATTTCTGCGAGAATGTGAGAATTTATGAAACAATGTGTCAATAAATTTACTTCTGGCAGATATTTATGTTCGAGGTGGTGAAGCAGCTCATCACGTGGCAGCAGCTGGATTCATTTTCAGATTTAAACACTCAAAGCGTTCTCTTCTTAGCCCATGAGGGCACACTGACACTGAAACACACGACTGTGATTTCAGCGAGAAAAGATAAATCAGAGAAGGTACGGACACAACTCACTTTGTGCCAGATCCTCCAGAGCAAACAGACGATCTTCAGGAAAACAACGTCACTAACCCTGATCTTGTTTTTTAACAAATTTCAGGACTTGGGGCTCCAGAGGGAAACTTTTCTTCTTGTGCCTTTTCAGATTGGCAGTGGACACTGGACATTTCTGAGGGGCTGTATGTGTGAACGTAAACGGCAGGACAAATCACAGACTTCACAACGGACACTACAATCTGAGCTGGACGTTTTTGGCCTCAGACTTTTTCACACTTTAACAGAACAAAAGTGAACTGACACAGTGAGTTATCGCACTTTGGGGTAAGACAATGAACCGTCTTTTGTGGCCTGGATGCATTTAAAACTAATCAAGTCCACTTCAGTGATAAGAGGAGCTGAAATTTGTCTGGATCTGCCACAGACTGTGTGGATATACGGGCAAACAATGCCCAGTTTTGGTCTGGGATTGATTTTAGTAGAAAAGGGGAAGCAACTGATGATAAAATCTGTTGTGTGGAAGATTTGAATATCTGCATGAAACACTGCAAAGCTGTTGACGACTGAAATATCAGTGGTAACAACTGAAAAAGTCCGAAAGTCAACTTCAAACTGAAGAAAAGAAAAGAAAAGCGCCCGGCCTGAAACAAACAAACCAAACCTTCAGGGGATGCAGTCTCACTTTATCTTTTCCATCATCTCTACTGCTCATTTAAATCAATCTTAGCTGCATGCATACAACATGTGAAGCTCTGCTTCGGTGCAACTCCCCCTTTTCTTCCCACAATGCTCTGGTGTACTCTAGCTGATGCAGCTGACAGCGCCCAAATGCGTATTAGCGTGTGTGTTCGCTCACTCGCCACCGTGGTGGGTGAATGAATCAACGGAGCGTGTGTGAAAACACGCCGTCTGGCCAGCCTCCCTCCCTCTCTGTGTATTCCAGCTCACACACAAACTGTGTGGCCGCTCAAACACACACCAACACGCACGCAGAGCCGTGTTTCTTGCCATGTACCAATGCTTGAATTAGCACCTTTGTCCGTGCCAGACGAGCACACGTCCAGGCAGCGAGCCTGAGGAAGCTCGTGCTGCTAACAGGCACGGCTGTGAATTTATCAGAGGGAAAACAATTTAAACACGGGTTGAAAACAAAAGAACATTGCCATTGTACACACACACACACACACACACACACACACACACACACACACACACACACACACACACACACACACACANCACACACACACACACACACACACACACACACACACACACACACACACTTCTCATTCCTAAGCTCACAGGAGGAAACTTGCTTTCAGATATTTCTTGACTTTCCTTCCGATTTTTTAAAATAAAACGGGTGTTAAACAGATATAATTGGATTTTAGCTCGTATTTTTTCGTATTTTTCGTTTTTTAAATAAAACCACCCCTCCTCTCTTTCTTTTAACGTACAAAAAACATAGTTCGATTGTTCTCATACCGCAGGAAATAACACAGTGCAAACTCTTTGACAATCATCAGCAACAAGGAGCCTTGGCAAAACTCGCACACTTAAGGAACAAACTTTAACAGAAAAGGTAGAAAAACTGAAATATTTTTCTCCTTAAGGGTCAAAAAGTAAAGGAGATTAACGGGTAAAAGGTTTTAGTCCAACAAATCTTTTTTTAAACCTGCCACCAAAACTGGCACTCACCAGCAGCTAAAAATGCTGCTGCTCAGAATTCAGCAGTATTTCTCCTGCGGCTGGTCGTTAAGTTTCCCAGCATGCCCAGCAGGAGTTAAAGAGCAGGGTTGGTGGGGTGCGGGGCGATCATAAACCATGCCAATATACATATTAATATTAATTTCAACCCCTGACCTCGTCAACCCCACGCTTTTCAGAGAAGCTTCCATCTGGGCGTCTACATGAAATCAAGCAAAACTAAAAAGTGATAAACGGAGAAAAGGAACGGGTTCTGTACAATCTCACTCTGCCTCCACTAACTCACGACGCTGCGGTTGGGATGCTTCGCCACGCATACATTCATTATCAAAAACTACAGTGTTACTGGAGTTTGGAAAAGGAAACATCACTCGAATACAGGGTTCAACCCTCCCTCCCCCCCGCCCCCGCCCCAGGGAATGTCTGTGATTGATTATGGTCAGAAAAAGAGCCTCAGTGACGGTACACATAAAAAAATAAAGGCTTAAACTATCAGGTCTGGAAAGGTCGCAGAGGAATGAGGAGCTGGGGGGGGGGGGGGTCGTCCTCAGGCTGCCACCTTTCTTTCCCCGTGGTCTTTCTATCTCTCTCCACCAGAACAGGAAGGAGGAACTACCCCAAATGAGGCGTTCGCGGTTGTGGAGAGAGATGGAAATGTGGACAAACAAAAAGATGGAAAGCAGAACAAAATGACCAAAAGAGGTTTAAAAGAAGAAACACATCCCCAATCAAATGGCGGCTCAGGGAGGAGTGACAACTGTCGTCTGACCAAAGAGGGGCCAACACCACCGAAATGCCATCCCTCCCCCCGTCAATCTGTCCATCTGTCCATCCATCTATCTGTCCGTTCACTCACTCAAAACAAAGTGCTGCCGTCTCCTACCGCCCCTTGAAGGGCGTCTGCTGGCGTGGCTCCACCTCCTGATTCGTGACTGTTGGCGGCCGCCGCTGCCGCCGCCACGGCCTCTAGGGAGGCGGGGTCAAAGCCTTGCTCCGCCCCCAGACCGTCGGCCTCCATCTTCACGCTGTCGGCCAGGAAGGCGGAGTAGGCGTCACTGTCGGCCATCAGCAGTTTAAGCTTGGGGATCCAGCTCTTGCGGACGACGCGACGAGCATTGGTGCACATATCGGCCGCGATGGCATTCATCTCGCTCTCCTTGAAGCTCGGTGCAAAGTTCTGGCAGTAAACTGCAGGAAGCAAGAGAGGTGGACAAAGAGAGAGAGAGGAGAGAGAGAGGAGAGAGAGAGGAGAGAGAGAGGAGAGACAGAGAAGGTTAACACAGCCAAAACAAAGAATGAAAGGAGTCTTAGAAGTGTGTTTCTATGTGTTTGTGTCTCTGACTCACATTTGACAGCGTGCAGAACTCTGTTGTCCAGGGGTTTACGACTCGGATCGTTGGTTGAAGAGCGGATTCCTGTTCCACAGCTGTTTGCCAGAGTGCTCCTGAGCAAGAGAGGAAAAAACAACCATAGACTTGAAAGTTAAATTTCACTGTGGGTTACTGAACTACTGGGGTACATCTGATTTGAGTGTTTTGTTTAAAATCAACAGAGGTTAAGATGACAACTGTATTTATTAGTCTGAAGAAGAGCCTCTTGCTTTTAGTATCACTAGTGAAAATAAAATCCTTTTAGCATTTGGTGGTTTCATCGAGCAATAAACTGTAAGATCACATTCCTGCTGCTCTGGTTCCAGCCCCATCACCAGCCAAACATGTCGGACACTGACCTGTCAAAGAACGCCGCCAGCAGGCGTCTGAGCAACACTTTGTGGCGGGTGCCGGCGCTGACGTGGCAGTTCATGAGCTGTGCACGGGAGATGAACACGGACGTGCCGCTCACCAGCTCCAGCTTCTCGGCCGGGTCGCCCTCCTCGTACAGCTTCGGGTGGCAGCGGTTGCCGATCTGGCTGATGAGCTCGGCGGGCAGTGACGCCAGGTCCTGCCGGGAACGTCCCCCCCTGCCGCCCCGCCCACCGCCCGAGTCTGGGGCCAGGTCCGGCAGAGCCTCCACCCTCTCCCCGACCACTGAGGAGGAAGGACAGTGGACTGTTATTAGTTTTATTTATAATTTTTACAACAGCAGTGCCACAATTTCAGAGAGGAAACAAAACTCCTGAGGATTAAAAACATTATAAACTAATTTTAAACGCTCTAGTACACTCTGGGTCAATTAAAGATGGATGACATGACAGTTGCCATAAGTGAAGCCAAATCATCTGGATCTCCCCCTGCTGGCTCGCTGCAGTATAAATCATCAATAGCTTTCCACAGAGTTTCAAATATACTGACACATGTAAGAATACTTCTGATTGGCTGTTGTGTCAACATCAGCACATTTAGAGCTCAAATTAAATTATTGTCATGAATCCATGTTGACAAAACTGAAAACTCACAGAATTAATTACTAACAAAAGGCTCAGGTCTCTATTCTCCAATATTACATTTTAGACATGAGTTGATTCAGTGTTTTTTAATGGATTCAATTGCACTGCTCTTTGCATCAGCCGCTTCTTTGCCTCCATTCATGCATTAAATTCCTTTGGTGTATTTTCCCAACTTGTTTTTATTCAGTGGAAATTAGAACATGGGGGTCAAACTCTGATAATTCAGTTTCAGGTCAGCGGAGATCAATGTGGATCCTGAGAAAGGACCTCAACGACTTTTCCCCCAAACCTGGAACTTTTAGACTAAAAGAAAATTTCTTGAACCATAGAATTGTGAACTTTAGATTAAACAACTGGTTGAATTTGTTGTGGTGCAAAACGATAATCACGCTTTTATATCATGGCGCTTTCACACCAACCGTGGTTGGTTCAGACCTCAGACTTTTTAGTTTCGTCCGAAACAAAACAGACAGAAGGACAAAAATGTAATTGGACCAAAAGAGGTGGGTCCAGATCAGAGGGAACCGTGATTTTGGTTCATTTGAAAAGACTTGTTTGGAAGTCTCGGACAATAGAAGAAGAAAAAGAAGAGGAAGCAGCTGCAGTCTTCACCTCTAACCTCATAAAGTTTGAACGATGAGAAGCAGAATCTACATCTTTTCATGTTTTCAACATTTAACTCTCCTCCACATCTGAGAAGTTTAGATACGGCAGTGAGACTTGGCGGAGATGAGACGAAAACTTCCAGATTTACATGAAAACACTGAGACCTTGAAGTGAACTCAGACACTTATGTATTCAGAGCTTACCCGCTGCTCCGGCATTCAGCATGCTGTACATGGTGTACATGTTGCAGATCTGTCTGTACTGCTCTTCGGCGCTCTCATCCGCCACGTCGTCCTCTTCCTCGTCGTCGTGGTAACTGATTGGCGAGTCACTGGTGTACATGCTCAGCGTGCCCGGGCTCGTGCCCTCTGGGGTTCCGCCATTGTTGTGGTTATTGTTGTTATGGTTGCTGTTGAGTCCGGCTCCTCCCACTGAAGTGATGCCGCCGCCCACCATCACAGCGTTGCCAGATGCAGGTCCACGACCAGAGGCATCCTGGGTAGTGTTGTTAGAAGAGGAAGAGGAGGAAGAGGAGGAAGAATAGCGTGCAGCCTTCCTCATTCCGCCTCCACCGCCCCCCCCAGACCCCCCGCCCCCATCACGGCTGCCCCCTTCCCACAGCCGCTTGGCCACAGGGGTGCAGACCACCGAGTAGGGGGAGCCCTCCTGCTAAGGAAGAGAGAATTACCTGTTAGTAACCATCACCTGACTGGACCGCCACAAAACAACTGACGACACAAACCTGGTCTAGTTCTTAAAGTTAAGATTCTAAACATGTAACCATGTCACACTTTTATATGATAATAAACACATTTTGCTTGATTAAACATCTTAATCCACCTTAACACTGCAGTAAACAAACGCCAGCCTGATGCTGCACCAGAACGTTTCTCTTGGGACACGGGAGACAGTAAATGTCTTTAGTTTTGAAATCACCCTTCTTTTAAAAATAAACTGAACTAAACTGGAATACACGAAGAGGCCATCTGGTGTTTGAATGAAGTCATCGTTATGTGACAATAAATGAGGTATTATTCTACTTTAACACCCAGCGCTCATTGATATGGACGATGAAAACACAAACAAACCACACTCGTCTCCCTGTATTAAGCCTCTTGCTGCCACCTCCATTGAAAGCTTATATAAAGTGGTTGACTGTACACAACATAATTTCTGCCCTTAAAACTTTCATGTTATGATTCATTCAAAAATCTGGATGAACAGAGTTTTATGAAGAAACACTCCAGTCACTGTTAAAGTCAGAGATTCCTTTAAAGCTTTCAAAACCTTTTCAAATCTCAAACTCAAAGAAAACGCCTACTCGTGATTCTTTTTTTTTAGATAATTTCACACACACATTACACCAAAGACGCGTTTAATCACTTCACCCAAGCAAGGAGTGTACCTGCTGCGGGTGGGGGGTGGTCTGAGGAGTGGTCGACGTCTGTTCCGTCTTTACCTTGGACACCAGGGGGAGGGGTGTAAGACAAGAGGAGGGCCTCCCTGTGGCCGTGGCGACAACACCGACTCCGCCCCCTCCCACTGTTTGAGTGACGGGGCTCTGAGGCTCAGAGGGCGGGGTCTCCTCAGTGTGGAGACCCTGGGAGTCACAGCTTGGAGATGAGACCTGGAGACGGGGCGATATGAAGTTTGTTTAAAATGACTGCACCTGCTGAGGAGCGCTGGGTGTTAAACATCAATTTACATGAACTGTAAATAAAGATGGACGATGTGTCTCCACCTCCTCCCACAGATCGACCAATAGCGCGTCAGTGTCAGCCGTCAATCATGACATTTTTATATCATAAAATAACCAATTAAAACCAAACTTATCAGAAACTCGAACACGTGAACACACATTAGTGTTTTAACAACGACCTGAAACGACAGAAACGGAGGGAGTCAACCACCAGGGGGCTATCTACGTGTTTCGGCTTCACTTTTGGAGAGCAGTCATGTCGTCCATCTTTATATACCGTCTTTGATTATTGTGTAAAGAAACAATTGTCCACCACAACGGAGCAAGTGCAAGAAAAACAGCATCAAATTCCTTCTCAAAAAATATTAAACTTGATAAAAGATAAGAAATTAATCATCAATCAAATTTAAATTTGTATAGCCTATATTCACAAATCACAGTTTGTCTCATATGGCTTTAAACAGGTGTGACATCCTCTGTCCCCGACCCGAACATAAACATTCTTTAAATTAAGTGGAGGACACTGAGCTGAGAACTTGCGACGCACATTTCTGATTATTTTGATGATCAACTGAAAAAACGAATATTAGCGAAGTTAATAAATTAATAAGAAGTTGCAGTTTTGGTAGTAGTATTTAAGTATTTACTAGTATTTAAAATGACCACTCACACGAAACTACTTTTATTAGGCTACGAGCTGAACGGAATTTTGAAAGTCCCCAAAATTCCTTGGCAGTTTGAAAAAAAAGTCGGAGACGGATCAGAAAACAGGTTCTGCTCCTGTAGCAGGTAATGTGAGCGAGAGTGGACTTTCCCATTGGCTGCTTCAAAATGATTTGGCATAACTAGTTACTATGACATCATCACTGAGCTCAGCTAGTTCCTGTTGGCTGCTTTGATTCGCTCAGCTCCGGTTTCAGGTGTTTCTCCAGCTCTGCCTGTCGGCTGAGAACTGAACACTCTTCCTGGAAACGCTCACGACTAAAGCAGAAAGTACCGGCGTTACGCTGAGTTGACACCGAACCCAGCGAACGTATATAAACTCTGTATCTGAGCGATTGAAAGTGTACATTCAAGGAAATCAGTATCCCTCGTTAATATGCAGATTTATTCAGCGAGGCACTCCAAATCTAATCAGATCTACAAACACAGATAACCCCACAGTGAAATTACACCATGCATAATGTCACACACACAACAGGTGCCAGGGAGGTAGCTCAAACAACTAATGTGATTATACTCATGTCTGAGATATTTTCACTCCATGATTACAATTTGCAGGATTATAAATACGTAGAATCTGTGTGATGCTGTTTGTAAAATCATCTAGTAGAGTTTTAACTCGCTGTACGTTAAAGCTTCATTGGCAGGTTACCTTGAGGAAGAACTCTGTGCCTTTCTCCATGATCTGTTGGATCTGGAGGAAGCCGGCGGTGTACATGAGCAGGAACTGGTCTCCAACGTTCATGCTGAGGCGTCCTGTGTAGCAGAAGGCCAGGATCTGCTGGAAGCTCTGCGGCTGCACTGCCGGGGGCAGCTCCACCACCGAGCTTTTACCACCGGCGTTGAACAGATCCCGGAAGTACGAGCTGCTGGCTGCCAGAACCGCACGGTGGGCCTGAGGGGTAAACGGCAGGAAAAGGTAAGTCATAGGTAGAACTCCCCGATACAGATATAAGGGAGTATATAAAACAAACAAACATCCAATTTTGATATATGTATAAAAAAATTGATGTTGTTATCAAAACCTCACAACAAATAACTGTAATTGAGATTTTATTTTTTCTGTTTAATTAAAAAGAAAAAGAAAACACCAACTATGAAGAATTTTGTAAACTTTTACTTTTTCGTAAAACATAAGCAGACATCTTGTAATCATTATTCAGTAAAATCTTCCAGGCCAACATACATGCAGATTTGATTTGTGATAAATGGGTCGAGTAAGTTCAAGTATGAACCCACCGTGACGTCACCCAGTTTGTGAGCTGCCGTTTGAAGCCTCGACATTTAGTCCAGCGCCAGCTGGTTTTTAGAAACCAGAAGGAGCAGGTGGTGCTTTATGGTTTATTTGACTCTGAATGGGACCATAATTTAAAAACTGAAGAAGACTTGACACTAGAGGTTGAGACCATAAACTCCTTATGAAAATGTTTACTGACGTTATAAATCAAGTGAGTCATTTTCTCTTCTATAGAAACTGACTTCTTTAAAACCAGCAGTCGCCCTCTGTCGGTCAGAGAACACAGGTTTCAGGCTCTTCCACATTAGCTTCATGCAGCAGACCTGGAGTCAGTGGTTGGCCTCCAGGTATAAGGGTGTGAAACGTAAACAGGAAGATTGGCTTCATCTCATCTGGCTGACAAATGTTTACAGTAATCTCACTTTGCTGGAGTTTTATCAAACTCCTACAGAAACAGATAATCTATTTTTGAAATACTGACCAAAGCAGAAACTGGACCAATCTGTAAAGGAATCACTTCCTTACATGAAATACGACAAATTCTTAACTCTTGGCCTTAGAAAGTGAAAGTGTATTGAACGAATGCAAAGATTTATGCCTCTAGTGAGAGAGGTGGCCAGATGGAGCTCAGGAAATCTATTTGAAATCATTTAAAGCTCAACTCTGGTTGTTTTTCACCTGGGCCATATTTCCCTGTCTCACCAATTGATTCTGAGCAAAATCTTGTCAATATCTTCACTGTGGAACTAATTACACTTTGCTGTGGCCGTCAGAGCCAGAGATCCAGGACGATCCAACATCAACAAAAATATGACACACACACACACACACAAAAACCTTCTGACCTTGAAGGCTTGTCCCTTGACGACCACAGAGACATCACAGTATAGCCCCTGCAGCCGCTGTTCGTTCAAACACTCCAGGACGTTGTTGCCAAAGTTAGGGATCGCCATCTGCAGCGTCTGAGCCATAACGCTCTGCCCAGCACCACAGGGTCTACAGGAAAACAGAAAAGCAGAAGTTAGACTTGACAGCTTATAAAAGAGAGGACTGGATGGGACAGAGGGATGGAGTGAGGAAGGAGGTGTCTGAGGGAAAGAAGGGAGGGATGTATAGACGAATGAAAGGAAGGTGAGGAGGGGGGAGAACATGGGTGAACAGAGAGACACTGAAGGGGTGATGCGGAGGTGAGGACAAAATGAGGCAGCGGAGCAGGAGAGGAGGAAACGCGGTTACTAGCGAGTGATGAGACAAGGATAAAAGAAGGTCGGGAAGCTGAATCCGAAAATGGAGACGAGATCGAAACGAGGAGGAAAGAAAGAGACGTAAAATAAAGGAACAGGCTGAGTAAAGTGTGTGATGATTAATGGATTAAGTATTTGGTAAACAACTTTAATTCTAAACTCCAAATGAACTTCGAATGAAAGAGAATTTCGGGGCCACCAGCAAAAGTTATATAAGCCATCTTTCTCTTTTTTTTTTTCAAACCTTGTTTCATTACATCTAATTCACAGTTAATAAACTGTTTTGTGGTTTTTGGCCTACTTTGTTATTTCCTCTCAGTCAAAACACAGTCGCTTACATAACTCGTCTATTTCGCTCGTCCTCGTCATGATTCCAACAAGGAAGCCCGAGATGAGAAAAGTGGAGGAGCTGTCAAAATCGTGACAGTATAAATAACCAATGTACATACATCCCTCTAAACACATCTTTGTCTCTCAGGACGGGGAGCGTCTCTGTCCTTTGGACCCTTATTTTTGATTATGCATGAACAATAAGCAGGATATAAATCCTCTAATGCCAAGTATGATGAAGCAGAAGTAAACAGATGAGGACAGTCACGACTACGCTACTGAACAAATACATTCATACAAGATCCTGATCCTCGTGATGGAGGATGTAGGAACGTTGCAGACACACACACACACACACACACACACACACACACACACAAAGTAAAGCATTGGTTGGACAGTAGCTGGTCGGAGTAGATGATGCCGAGCTCCTGGCTGCAACCCAAAACAAATCACTACGAGAGAACAATATTATGTTGATTAGCTTTGCTGCTCCTCTGGGAGAAACACTCGCAGACGAGACCTAGTAACCTAAACAGTGCCGGAGTTCTACATCACCTCTAGTTCTGCTCATAAACGCTGCAGCAGAAGCCCAGAGGTCAGGGAGAGATCACATCAGCGGAGATTTTACCAATCTATTCACAACTTTGATCCGACACACAACTCATCCTTGAAGACAAAAACTTCAGACTCAACTTCATATTGTGTGCTTGACCCCAGTGGGGAAATAAGGTCAACTTTATGAAAATAAGAAGAAAACATTGATGTGATGTCTTGAAGTGTGGAGAATGTCTAGAACTTGTTGCTCGGGTCTTGACAAACTCATGGCTTGTGCTTAAGAAGCATTTTTTATTTATTTTATACAAACGAACAGCTGCCCTCGCGCCCACAAACTAAAAAAGATTACGCATTGATTTGTCCAGGTCTTTGGTCTACGATAAAGAAAAATGGAATTGTGATGTTGCTGTAGATCCAGTACGTTGCTTCACTGCTGCATCGCTCAGGCCACAAATGACTATTTGCATTTCTATCCTTTATTTCGTGTCCGATTCTGCTTGTTTTTAAGACAGAGCTCCATGAGCTGATGATGGTTTCTAAATCTCAAGGTGATGAACTCCAAATGTTCTATTCTATTCTCGACCACTAAAATCATCGTAACACACCGAGGCCGACCAACATCTTTGTCTCTGACCACAGCCACTTAAGAACTCAAACTGTCAGCATCAAACCAAAATATCTCTATCACCCCCTAGTGGCTGGCTGCAGTGAAGGTCATAAACACAGCCTCCTCAATGTTAGTAGACGGGACATTGAATGGGACGTCTACCTCCACGGCTGGAAACCAAAAACACAATCCACCAACAGCACAACCGGCAAAGACAAACAATTTTAAACTTAGAATTCAATTTTAAATTTTTCAAACATTATTCAACACCTGCTGCTACAAGAAGAATTCAGGTGCACGACTTTGGGGTGAAGTTTGAAATTGAGAATAAAAAGACAAAATAAAAACACCTTACATTGACAAATGTCATTTTTTCTAGAGCTTGTGTTTAACAATGTTTAAATCTTTTCTATTTGCCACCATTTTAACTTCACAATGAGCAGGAGATGAGGTAAGCAAAGCCGATTCCTCCACTTCCACAAAGCTCTGTGCAGCAAACCTTGAACCTTTGTTGGTCTGTGGGAGGTGATGACAGCTTTAATGTTGTCTGAACAGCTAGACATGACACATCATGAAAATGTCTCTTGTTGCAGAACCTCACATTCAGAATGCAGAACAAAAAAAAACACTCACTTTGTTTGAAGCTGGGAAACTTAGGTTAACCAAGTGAGTAAATTTAAACTGTTCCCCAAAAACTCTCCTGGTGTCAACGTCACCAACAAGTGTAGACGATTATTTTCTACTTTAAACTTCGAGCTCCAACAAGGGACAGTGGTTCTAATGGGAAGCTTCCAGATGTGAGGGTGTTACTGCGCCGTGTCGTGCTACGCAAACCTAGGCTAGCTGAAAAAATTTAATTGAAACTAGAATGGAACTCCGAGAGCAAATTCCTCCTCAGCTGCTTTAAATTCAATCCAGCCACACTAGAACTAAACTCACTCATAGATATAAGTCATGTCTTCATTATTTCTTTCAGAATTCACCAAAAAACAAAGAAAACACTCTCTCTCTCTCGCAATTTTAAAGAAAGTGGGGGGGGGGGAGTATTTAACTATTCCCTGACCCATACGGCATCCATCTACCAAATTTGGTTAAAATCCATCCAGCAGTTTTTGCATAATCCTGCTAAATAACAGAAGCAGATGAAAACATAACTTCGTTGGCAGATGTAAAAAAAAGTCCTGAGCTCCTGTCTTACGCCTACGTACAGGCAGCTCTGAGAATAGGAGGCCATTAAAATTTCATTGAAATTAATTTTTAAACTGATAGCAATTAATTATTTTTGTTAATTTGCTGCACTGGGCTAATAGAGGTCATAAAGCACGTCTTTTTACGACACCAGTGCTTCACATTCTCATTACAAGTGTTTTCATTTTAGTTTTGAATGTTAAAAATTCCAGATTATTTGACGAATGCGCTTTAAGATCAAATAAAATCAATAAAATCTTAATAGTGCAAATAAAAAACATTGATCAGCACATTTGAGCATTTTCTTCTGCAGCAAGCAAATGCTGAAACAAGATACATAAAAATGACCCAGACGCAAAAGTTCACGTGTGGATCAATTGTGTAAATTAAAATATTATCATCCCTGAACGATCGCTCCACATTTGTTTGCACTGAGAACTCTTTGTATCATGTGATCTGAGGAACACTCCCATCATATCAAAGCACATTAGCATCAGAGGCGCATAAATTACAGCTGAGTTCTCTCTAAACTTATTTTGTTAAAATCAATTATGTTCTGACATAACTAAGTCAGTGTTTGATTGCCTGTGTACCGTGACTAATTATTGTGTCGATGTAAACAAATCAATATACATCACATTATTTATAATTTAACTGAAGTGGCTCACAGTGATATTTTCTCTGTGTATTTTGGGCCATATCCAGGATTTGTTGTACTTCTACTTTAATTAGCGCATTGAGATCTCAGTGATATTACTCGTTTACTATCTCATCACAGTACCTCAGTGATACTGATGCTGGTTTTGACCTGTGCCACTGGCTGGGGGAAATAAAAAGGCACTAAAAATGCACGATGCACAGTGTCCGCTCTCCAACACCTGCACTTCCCGTGGCTCCAAGCGAGAAATTGAACCGACAAGTGTCCCGGTGGAGCTTCTCCGCCCGATGGTGGATGCCCGTGATTGTTTCCAGGTGTGAACATGTGCGCAATCACATGAATAATAAGTGGGCAGCTGCTAAAACAGAGCACGATGGGACGAAATTCATCAGAAATTAATCACATGCAACGGTAGAAAGTAGATATGCATAAAAGTATGTAGTCGAGCGAATACAACTAAGTCTTAATACAATGTGGAAAAAAATTACGTTGTAAATATTACGAGAATAAAGGAAAAAAGAAAAACAAGATTTCGTTTTGTAGGAAATAAGCAGCAAGAAGAACCTGAGCAACGCCGGAGGTCCACTCTCTCTAGATCTACAATCTTGAACCAATGTCATCATCACGCCAACTACATGAGGTCGAGCACGACCAAACACTTCCTCCTCCACTGAAGAGACAATTTCCTCCATGTCTGTGCAGCTCTGTCTGTGGATTAGACTCAGTCTCTTGCACAGTCTTTTTAAATTCCTGATAATGATAATAATGTGAAGCTGAAGTGACAAAAGATTAATTACGTTAAGAGACCCACACTTCAGAATAACTCAACACGATGCTCCGCATTCCTCATTTTAACGCAGGCGACGGGCAGATCAGGTCGAGTTTTTCTTACAAATACTTTGACACACTTTTCCATTATGTTACAAACTGTTTCTTTGAATCAATGTTGTAAATACTGGTTTTGCTGATGTTGTCAGTTACACACGGAATCTATTATACGTCTGTCCGTCCTGGAAGAGGTTTCTACAGTTTTATCCCCCGTTAATAATTTTAGTTTTAGTAGTTTTACTCTTCGATCTATGACACAAACTGTGATTTGTGAACATGGGATATACAAATAAATATTAATTGAAGGACTTCACAACTTTAGCTATTTGTGTTTAAATCTGTATTTGTACTATACTTTCCCTGCAGTGAACTTACTCTTGACTTATTTTGACCTTTTATTGTTCTTACGCTCTTGTGTTTGACTGTTTAGCGAGATTCCTGGAGGCCCGAATTTCCCTGGGGATCAATGAAGTCCATCTATCTAGGAGCCGCGTGCCTGATTTGACTTGAACACACTGCTGAGCACCGTCGTGTCACGCGTCGACGTCCTGCCAGCCACCTTTTCCTCCTCAAAGGTCAGCGAGGTCACAACAACTTCCAGGAGACATAAAGGCCGGGTAATTCACACCACTTGACCTTTGGCCTTCAGTCCCCATGTGCCCCATTATGACTCCAGGCTTCACAGTGTGTGTCTGAGTCTCTCTGTCTCAGGGTCCTCTGCAACTTTATTAGACCCCCCCCCACACACACACACACACACAAACTTTGGGTGCTTTTAACGCAGACTAACCACAAGTTCTCTGTAAAATACCTCCAGGAGAAGTGACTTGATCTCTGCAGCTTGTGCAAAAATAATCAATGAGACAATTATTGGAATCAGTATCAAGACAAGCTTGTGACATCCCCACCAATCAATCACAGCCTTGATCACACTCAGTTTCCTGGTTAGGGAGGTTAAAAGGTGGCCTGTTAGCAAGTAGCAAGCTAAAGCTAAGGCTAACTCAGTGGAAAACACATCACCTGTATAAATAAGTCGTAAACAGGTTTTTAAATCACATGTGCAGATCCCAGCGTTCAGTGACTTTCGGTTCAAAGTGCATTTAAGTCTAAAACCCGCTGATATTTACCGACACTCGTGGGCACACACGAGCCCAAAATGTGGCTATGGTGTAGCCTCCCCCGAGCACCACCGGAGCTCCAACTTCAGAATAACCGTGTATTTATTCGTAAAAGATTAATTAAACATCGCTTCATCTCACGTGGAAGCGGCACAGAGGAGGAACAGAAGCCCGCCACCAGCAGCGGCAAGCAGCGGGGCAGCAGGGCAGACAGAGCGGGCAGGGAGCTCTCGGTGCCCCGCCGTGTGCCAGCCTCGATGCCCGGTAGGATTTTGGGAGTCCTCGGTTGGCCCGGGCCGGTGCGTGCGTTCAGCGGAGAGAGGGAGGGAGGGAGGGAGGGGGGAGGCGGAAAAGAGACCGAAAAAAAGAGAAGGAGAGAGAGAGAGCTCCTCTATCTGATGTGAGAGACCCGGTTTAACCCCCCAGCAGCCCGCAGCACACACGCGTTTATCGTCCGAGGAACCGGGGACACGAAACCCGCCACAGAAATAGTCGGAAGGGGATAAAATATTCAGCAGTTTAGCGCCTCCACCTCCCCCCGTCTCCCCGGATCCTCTCGCTCCGTGCCAGCGCGGTGCGATGTCCGCGTAGACCCACCGACTTCCCTCCTCCTCCTGCGGCCGAGCGGCAGCCACCGACACGGGACAGACACGCGTTGTCCACCACCACCACCACCCCCCTCCTCCAAAATGTCGCTGGCGAATAAATGATTCATCAACCAAAAAATAAATAAAAAATTTTAAATGAAGCCACACAGATCGAAGTGGACTCGCTGGTTATGGGTTTTTTTTTTTTTTTTGTTACCGGAGCGGAGAGGTGGGTCTACAGCGGATCCAGGCACTCCATCTTTAGCCGACATCAACAGGTCATCCCGGGACACAAATGCGCTGCAACTGTGGGCGAGACAGACGGATGGATCCGGCATGGCGAGAGGAGGAGAGGAGGGGAAGGGAGAGCAGGGGGCTGGCTGTAAAATCTTAACCCGTTTACCGACATGTGTGGATGTGAATGACCCGGGACGTGTGCTTTCTAACACGGTGTGGTGGGTAGTTGGTGAAACTGTCTCTGGCTCCATATAAAAAAGTAGTTTTTTTTTAGGGGGGGGGGAAGTTGAGGAATGCGGGAGGAGGAGGACTCATCGAGGGGGAAGGAAGGAGGGGACAGCCCGCGGTGAGTGGAGCCGGTGAAGTGGTTAAAGTTTGGTCTGTCCCCGTGAGCCCATCCCCCATAGCGGCTACCAGAACTTTACCACCTCCGTCCCCTTTAAAAAGAACCAGAAAAAAACCACCGCTTTCCCCCCGCGCACACACTTCAACACACCGCCGCAGCCCTCCACTCGAAACCCCGATTCAAGGCAGCACCCTCCCGGCCCCCGCGGCACCTTCAGCTCCACCGACTCGAGCCCGGAACCCGAACCCGGGCCGATGTCCTCAGTGACCGGCCGCTCTCTTTACTCACCCCTCCTTGGGCTGTGCGTAATCCGCTGGAAAGTGATTCAATGGAGGAGGAGCAGCCGCCGGAGGAGAAGGAGAAGAAGAAGGAGAAGTGAGAGCGGGTCTAGCGTCTCCCTCCGCTCACAGGCAGCCATTCATTGTGACCGTGCACCGGGAACCAGCAGCCGGAGCACAAACACCGACTCATACACACACTGGACGCGGGCACGCACGCACACATGCAGGCGAGGAGGGAGAGCACCGAGCCATCGAGGACGATGGGGGGGGGGGGTACTCTCCCAGGGGCTGCAGACAGATCACAGAGCCACCGATCACACAGACAGACAGACAGACAGACAGACAGACAGGTGGGGAGACTGTCTCACCACAACTGCACCTCGTGCACATTTCAGCGAACAATGCTTATAAAACTTTTTTTAATCTTCTTTTAAACATAATGTGTCATACGTGTAAAAATGTAATGTAACGAATCAACAGATAACAGAGCAGGAGTGCGATTCATTGTCTCATGTATGTTCAAGTGTGAAGTCATGTATGTTCAAGTGTGAAGTCATGTAATGCATGTCAAGTATAATATATGCATAAATGTAACGTGTAAAAATGTAATTCAGTGTTACGCATGTAATAGAATATAATGTCAACATCTGCGGATGATTCAGAGCAGAATGTAACGTGATGAAGAAAGTGAAAGTAATGGGATTACATCGGGGTGAGTAATGGATTACAGGTCTGAGCCGCTGCAGGTAGACAGGCAGCGTCCCCAGCCGACCCGACTGTCTGAGCCCCACCCACCGAGTCCACCCACTCAGCCCCACTCACCCTCACCGCTCACCGGGGTGTCTTCTCCCTCAGGCCGCTGCTCCTGGAGCCTCCTCCTCTTCCTCCTTCTTCTTCTTCTTTCCCGGGACCGTGAGGCCGGCGGACGGCGGTTCGATCCGTGCTGGTGCGTCTAGACTCCGGGCAGGTGAGCCCTCCGGGGCCTCCAGGCGCTGCGCACGGTGAATGCTAAACAGGATGAGACTGCATCCAGGCTCGGCTCTGCGCTCCCCGCTCCCTCTCCCTGTCATGCCAAATACCATTAACTCTATAATTCTCCTGTGTCAGATGTATAGCGCCACGCTCTCTGGGCATTTATTGTCACAGCGCCCCCATCCAGATGTTCAGTGTGCACACAGTGTTCCCCCTCTCTCAGCCGAACATGTGTTTTATAGGAGCTGATTTTAGATTTGAGCACATTAAATGAACAAATACCTAAATACATGTTGTTTTCCAATGTAGATCATGTTGTTATTGTATTGTATTATTACATAAGGACAGAGGACGTTTGCACCGTGTACAGATTGTAAAAAACACTCATGAGGAAAAGTGTGTTTTGTGAATTTGGGTTGTATAAATGTGATTAATATAAAGTTGAAATGTGGAGGCCTCATTGCCCTTCAGCAGGATGAGGCCTCAGGTTCAGGTGCAGCAGTTCCTGTCGAGTCATCTGAGGATTGTTTCTGATCGTGAAAAATCCTCATGTATGAATTATTCTTTTTAAAATTATATATAATAATGTATATAATATATGTGTTTATGTTTTTTTAATGTTTTTTCCATCTGTTCGTCTGTATCACATGAGAAGACTTTGTCTGTTGTGAAAAAAGAATTCACTTCTTCTCACAAAAACACAGACTAAACCTTAAGGAATGTTTACTTGGTATTTACAGGGTCCTGATATTGTGCTGGGGTCAGTTCAGTTCAGTTCCAGCCTTCTTTAATATGAGCATAGAATAAGCAAAAGTTTTATAGGAATGAATTAAGAAAAAGATAAGATACAGAATATGTACATAACACACAGAAATATTGTTTGCATGGAAAATGCACTTGAGTAAAGTGCAGTGGCACAGGAGGGTCACACAAGCACGTAAAACTGTATTTGTGTATTAAGGAGATGTTGAGATAAGATAAGATATTACAGCAGCAAGAGTCATAGGCATCAGGAACTAATAATAAGTAACATGCAATACTTAAGTTTAAGGATAATAGAAGATATAGAAAAATATTGAGATAGACAATAGATTTATGCACATGCAGATTAGGCTGTTTATACATATGTAGTTAGGCAGATATGGTATAAAAAAATATTGAGGATAAAATGCTAAATATTTGTGTGTCTGTGTATAAATAGGTACCATGGTATACTAAATACACAGTATATTTTATACAGTACAACTATATAAATACAATGGTATAAATTCACAATAGTACAAAATATAGTATTTGAATATAAAAAAGGTATACAGGTATATATATACAGGTGTAAAATCACGATCAGAAGTATACATGTGGAATAATTGGTATATATGTTACACAGGTAATGTGCAGAATAAGACAACAGGCCACATAGGATATAATATTTGCAGTATTTGTATCCAGTTGAATGTATTCAGTGGGAATAAGAAGATATCACGTGGTGACAAACCTAAAACCAAAAGATGTTGATGCCTTTAATTTAAAAAGGGACATTTTCTTTTCTCCATATTCTCTCAATGTGTGCTCTCACAGCCCGGATCCTCTCTCCTGACCTGCATTGATCTGATCTTCTCTGAGGAGGTTTTTATCTCCTGGGAGGTTTGAGATACTTCTGTTAATCCACACACTATGTTTATCCTGCTCGTTAGGATGCATTAGCAGCTGCAGGCTCTGTGAGATTAAATTAGATTATTCATGAGAGGCCTGATGTGTTTTCCAGTCTCGTCACATGTGCAGTGGGAGTAAAGTAGGCCATGCAGGGTGAGCAGACCCTCCCCCTCCTCCCCCTCCTCCATCATGTCCTTACATTACACCGTCACCCTTCGCTTTTTCTCACCGCGCAGGCTTCCGTAGATCCGCAGCTGAAAACATGGCCGCCGCCACTTGCCAGCGTGAGTGAACGAAGGGAGTTTGTGTTGTTGCTGCGAGGACACACACCCACACACACAGTGACACCGTTTATTTTACTTTGACAAGAAATACAGTTAAACCCCAAGAGCAGCTTCTCCTCCCGGCCCAGGTGTCCCAGGTAAAAACCTCCGAACGCCGCTTGTTTAGCCCTAGTTAGCTAGCATGCTAATAGCTTCTCTGGTGGGGATGCGTGCAGCAGCTCCAGAGGGTTGAATCCAGGTTTCTCTGATTGAACCTGTTCAGGTTTAATTTTACTCAACACGGTATTAAAACGTTCTTGCTCCGGTGTCATTTTTCTCCAAAACCGACTTGAAAGATGCTAAGCTAAAGGTGCTAAAGTGACCCATGTAACAAAAAGAGAAACTCAGCAACAACTCAACTCTAAACTTTCTGGAGGCCTCGATAACACAAACTAACTTTTGGTGAATGCATGTTTAACTTGATTCTGCTTGAACAACTTTTAATGCTATTGTTTCTTTTATATTGGGGATAAAATAGTAATGTTATACACATGGAGCTGGAGGGAAGACAATTGACTAGTTTAATGCAAATAAAGAAACACGACTACTTAAAAAATATACGACTGAGACCAGGCCCATATTTAATATATGAATTAACATTTAAAGCTCCATGCTCCTGCAGGAGGAGGTCAGCTGACCCCAGCAGGGGGGGGGGGCGCTTTAAAACGATGTGACAACCATTTCTCTGTAAACTACATTAAGGCAGATCAGGAGCAGCAGCACATTTGATAATCAATCAATCAATTATTGATGATTCCTTTACTCTCATCTGCCTCAATGCACCATTTTATCCTTGTAGCCACATTTATCTGAAAACATATAGATATTCTTATTTTATTTATAAGAATATTATATTTGCACATATGTTTATCAATGAATGATGCTGTTTATGTATCTGCTGTTATCTTCCAAAATGTGAAGATTTTATTTTTGTAAGATTATTATCATTATAATAGATTTACTTTATTATCATTATAATAGATTTACTTTATTGATCTTTGAGATTTAGCATTTTCATTCGTCACCTATTTGCAGAACATGGCTGTAGTTTTTTTTATAATTATTGAAATAATAAGCTTACTCCTATTTATATCCTCTCTATACGTTTTCTTTTTAGTATCAATAAATAGAAGCTTGAATGGGGATGAGACTCACATTTTGGTAAATTGTAAATTTTCTTCCTCCAGGCACTTTCCCTTTATGCTGGTTCGGTCAGCTCGGCTCTTCCCCCTCATCGCCTCCAGTCACGTGCATCATTCTTCCACCTGTGCTGCTCGACAGACGTTTCAGTGGAGGATCTGCAGTGCTGCTGCGGTTTTGAGCAGGGGACGGACATCTATGGAGCCCATGAAAACCTGTCAGGACCCAGAGGTTCCCAGTAATATCCCCCCGCCTTCATCTACTGGATGCTCAGCTGATGCTATGACCCCAACAGATGATGAGAAGAAAACGCCTCCCGTGGGTCTTTTACCCGGGGAGACAGTGGTCAAGGAGGGCAAGGCGGCCATCTTGTTTCCCAGTGCAAATGAAGTGTTTTACAACCCGGTCCAGGAGTTTAACAGAGATCTGACGTGAGTCTAAACCTCCGGCTGCTTCGGCCTTTGCTCTACAGACTCGTAATTATTTTACAGCAGAGACACAGCTCTCCTCAGATTGTAATATAAAGTGAATCTGGACAGTCAGCGTTATGTCTACTGAGGATCCGATAGGTTGTTAAATCTGAGAGTAATATACTTTAAAGTAGCCAGTGGCCACAGGGTGCCGTCAATCTCAAAATGTTTATTTTTGCAAAACGTCTTATCAGATTTCATCAGGGTTTTTTTTGGGGTCGTTTTTGAGTTATTCCTCTAACCAGGAAACCACACACGGAACTAAAAGTTCAACCACGTTGGAGGGAAATGTTTGCTGTCAGCAGGACGAGACACTTTCATTTAGTCTCACGTGTCATATTTTTTATTCTGCAGCCATATTTTACTTTGCTGATCCTCCTCCCCTCATTTGAATTACATGATCATAGTTTCTCTCAGTCACTTCATCATTCACAAAAAAGCTCCAGGCCATATTTATATGTCCATATATGAGAAGTCCTCTTCCTCTCTTCCTCTCCAGATGTGCTGTGATCACAGAGTTTGCCAGAGAGCTGCTGGCTCAGCGCGGCGTGAAGGTGGTGGTGCCCGGAGAGAAGGAGAGGGTGGTGGTCTCTCTGTCAGAGGAGACGAACGAGGCAGACGCTCAAGTGGAGGAGAAAAACAGAACGGAGGAGCCGGCGGTTACTGCAACAGTGGGGGAGAAGTGTGAGGTACGGAGAACGGGTTCTACATCGAGATCTTCCTGATGCAGATTTTAGTTTTGTGATAGCGGCCATCAAACAAAGCTCTGTCAGATGGGTGGGACCATAAGCAGCTGTTATAAGCGTTGTTCCTTTTGTTTCAGCGGGGTCTCCGGGTCCTTGAGGGTCTGGCTGCGTCGGGTTTACGCTCTGTGCGTTTCGCTCTGGAAGTCCCAGGCCTGCAGAGCATAACCGCCAACGACTTCTCCACCAAGGCCGCTGGCCTGATCGCCAGGAACGCCCAGTACAATGGAGTTGACCACCTGCTCCAGGCCAGCTGCAGGGACGCCAGGTATGAAACCTCATCACGCTCGGCCGCTGTTACTCATCTGATATTTCTCTCAGCTCTCACTTTCTGTTTTCATCATTGACGTGGGTTTTTTCTAGTATGCTGATGTACGAGATGCGAGGGAAGAAGGAGCGCTATGACGTCATTGATCTGGATCCCTATGGTAGCCCCGCCCCCTTTCTGGACGCCGCCGTACAGGCCGTCAGTGAAGGAGGTGAGGAGTTCAGCCTGTCAATCATCTAACAATCACTTTTCCACTGATGTTCTGCAGCTGCAGGATTCAAACAAACACGGAGAGTTACTTTGCTGTTTGGCCAATTGAAGGATGTTTTATTATTATAATCCTTTTTGCTTTCTCTCTCTCTCTCTCTCTCTCTTTCTCTCTCTCTCTCTCTCTCAGGTCTGTTGTGTATAACATGCACCGACATGGCCGTGATGGCTGGAAACAGTGGAGAGACCTGCTACAGCAAGTACGGTTCAGTCTCCATCAAAGCCAAATACTGTCACGAGATGGTGAGGACACACACGAAAATGTAAAAAGTTACGAACATGCACAGACAAGTCCTCGTGTGTACGTCTTAATCCTTTGTGCACAAGTGTGAGCAACACAAACAATGTTGTCATGGATACTGACCTGAGGCTACATGTCGTGTGTGTGTGCGTGTGTGCGTGTGTGCGTGTGTGCGTGATTTGAACTGATGACGGATACAGTGTTTCCTGTTACTCCTTCACAGTAAAAGCCTCCTGTGCCTTTGCAGGGTGAAGAGGTTTTATTGTGAAGCCGCACCAGTAGAACATGTTTGATTTGCATTAACTGAAGTCACATGGTACAGATCGTTGATGAGATAACGTACAGCAAAGAAATGTCCAAATGTAAGTCTGTCGAATGGCTGCAGCTGAATTGTGTGTGTC